CATGCACACACATACACACAGAGACAATTTATTCTCCTGTGTACTTTGGAATGGTGTATATTATGGAATTTCTGTTCAACGCTATTAACCAATCGAAGATTGCGCTGCCCGTTTTATCGATCGTAAAATTCTAACATTCTTGTAAACTCTTCAGTTTAATATGTTAATGTTAATTTTAATTTCAATTGTAATTTTCATATTTTTACACTTTTGAAAATCTAATAATATGTGAATGCCCCTTGATGTGAGTAAAAAAAAAAAAGATGGAAATTTTTAAAAAAAGTTCAAAAATATAGAATAAAGTAATGTACTTTGTGAACTTTGAGTTTGATACCTTGCACTGTATCTTTCTTGTGAGCTTTTCAGTTTCATACGTTAATTTTAATTTTAATATTAATGTTTATATTTTTACACTTTTGAAAATATGTGAATGTTCCTTGGTGTGAGTAAAAGAATATAGATGGAAGTGAATTTTAAAAAAAATATATTTAAAAAATATAAAACATTAACGCACTATCTTCAGACTGCCGTGCAAAAAATTATTATACGATCGTTAAAACGCGCGGCGCGACCTTCAGATTGGCGCGCAATTGTACGATCGTTAAAATGCGCAGCGCAAGATTGCGCCGATCGGTAAATAGCGCGGAACATCTCTCGACTTTGTTTTTATTTTTTATTTCTGCTTTCTTCCTTGTCTTTGACATTTGTCCAAGTGTTCCGTCTTCTTTTAGTTTTAGTAAGAGTTTTACGGCACTTGCAACACAATAAGGTCATATAAGTGCCGGTTCCGTCTTCGAAGTGAGCGAATGTCTATTTTTGTTCTAAGTAGTGCTGCAAACTCATAAGCATAGAGGCAATCTTTTTTCTGACATTCTTCAGTATCTCAGTTGTGAAGGGGTTACAAGCTGTATCCTGCTCAATAGTATACCTCAGGTGAACATCTTCGCTCAGGTGTATAAAAGTGGGAGATTGGGGGACATCATCTTTGTTTCTGCATGTTTGTCTCGCTTTTTATTTGCTCCAAATTAGAGTTATAGTGTCAATGTGCTTCTCTAACTCAATAAAAGAAGTAAAACTGATCGAAACGGTGGCTTTAGTGTATTATTTCTGCTTTCTTCTACCTTAACCACCAACTTTGACCTTCACAGAATCACTCAGGTGAGCATCATTCTTTGCCGAGGTGCTTATTGAGCTAATGATTCATGAAAAGTGCCTCTGCTTTAATCTCCTTTAGGACTAGTAGGTCTCGATCTCATGCCACAAGGCAGCATGGTACCCCAAGAGCAGTGTACCTGCACGAGCCAGTGGTAGTGGACAAAACACCTGATTACGTCAGAGATGTCCAAAGACGTTGCCAGAGTTCTGTAAGGCAAACGGTACAGAGTAAATAGAATCTCT